AGTAAGTTTGTTGCGTGCAAGTCAGCTGAGGAGTAGTGGTTTCTCTGTCCTACAAGGAATTGTTCATGACTCTATATGAAATTGCACATAGAAAAAAATAATCTTTTAAAGACAGATTGTCATCATATGGAGAAACTGTGGTTGGTTTGTCATGTGGCTGGGATTAAAAGAAGGAAGGAGTTATATAATCTTACAGATCAAATGACCTGCAAATAATTAACTTTTTAGTTGTTTATGGTAAAATAAAGACAGAAACCTATAAAATAACAGCTATAATTGTATTACTGCATTAGTGTTTCGGGTACTTTGCAAATAAAAAAATGAAAATCTTAATTCTCGAAACTGTGATTTATGTAACACAGTGGAGCTTTTACAAAGAGGAATATTTACTTCACTGATATACATACTCCCTCCCTTCCCCCAATGTGTGGGATACGTAATCCCCCCTCCCTCTCCATACCAGCTCAATCTCTGAGGAGACGGGAATTAGGTTTATAGTTTAGACTGGTTCCCTTGGGGCAGAGTTCCAAGTCAGAGCCCAAACTCTCCCCTTGGGCTCCAGTCCTAAGTACCCTGGCTTTTCATGGCTTCCCCTGGCTGAAGGGGGGTGGGGTGGAGGGTTCTGATTGCACCTTCCCACCTGCAATCCTGGCTCCAAGGTTGTTATGGCTTGAACTCCTGGTCCTATGGGAATCACTTCTAGCACCTGAAACTGGAGACAAACAACACAGCACAGAAACAAACACCTCTAGGCTCATGTTTTAGAGCCAGAGCAAAAGAGGAAGAGCAGAGGCAAGCATCCAGCTTGGAGCAGCAGCTAGGAGCACAGACAAAAATGCGCCACCACCCCCCCTCCCCATGCGCACGCGCGAGAGAGAGCCAGTCAATCAGAGGAAGCTGCTCTGCTTCTGTGGTAGGGGACCCCATGAACTCCATGCTGAACAAACTGGGCATGTTCAAAGGCCCATAAACGTTCACGATAATTATTCATGTCATGGGTGTGAAAAGGGAAACCCTTTGATCTGTTAGAATAGGGTACTACCTATGGAGCTAGGCAGGTGCTCTGTTTCTTTTCTGTGGGCCACATGCTCTGGTCTGTTTCTGAAGGGCATAAGTTTAATTGTGAGACTGTAGCAGCACTTGACTGGTCACCAGTGATGGGGGTTGAGTCAAGGTTGATTGGTCAGAGTCAGGAGGAGCTGAGGAGAAACAGCTCCTGATCTTTTATGGGATATCCGAATCTTCCTGGGCTGGCTCTCCCTTGGATTGTCAACAAGGGAAAGGTGAAGAAGGTATTTTTCTCTTCTTCCTAGCTTTATGGCAATGGTAGCAACAATCATATGCCAACTACAACATGGTGTTTGTGTGAGCCTGAGTCCTTAACTACCTTTAGCTTTTTGTTTTCTCCCCTGAGCACAGAATAGAAATCAGTGAACTTGAGAAATGGATATTTCTAGCTGTTATTATAAGCTCATGAAGTAAAAATGCTAGGAATTTTTGGGTTTGTTGTGGTCTGAGAGGTTCAGAGATCCCTCAAACGCTGGAGTTCAGGATGGGGTTGTCTGGAATGAATTTACAGACTCAAGCATTCTTTGAGTCAAGTTGGCAAAGATTTATTGTTATGCTATACAGTGGGCAGAGGTCTTTAAGAAACCTGCAAGAGAAAGAGGATGGTGCTGGCGTTTATATGGAAAACGGCATGGGAAAGGAATGCCAGAGATGCTAATTAGGTAATCTAAAGGTCCAGGTGTCTTTGGAAGCTATGGATGGGAAAGTGTGGGAAGTATACCAGACAGTGAGGGGGTTATCAGAGGCATGGACCTTGGGGATCTGGCAGGAGGAAGAGTCCTTGGGTCAGCCAGGGACAAAAATCCTTGGGCCTGGCACCTCTCTCTCTGTCCTGATCAGAAAATGCATTCTGCAACAAGAGAAAATTTTCTCCAGGACAGGAGCCTACTAAAAAATTGGGAGGCTTCCAGAGTCATGATCTTAGGGGTGGGGGCTGAGCAGCCCATCATTCTCTCACCCAGCTTTGTGTAACTGCACCAGGGAGAGAGATAAGTGTCTTGCTGGGGTATACTCATGAGTAATTGCTAGGCACAGTGTCCTTGGGCTGGAGAGAAACTGCCAGGGTTAGTGTTTCTGAGGCTAGGGAGAAATTGGGGTCCAAGCACAGGCACCCAAGCACCCCATCATGTTGAGTGCTAGCTGACCACTGGGAGGTGATTACCATAGTATCACTATACCTCAGAAGAGAACAAATACCACTACCAAGAAGATACGGCTATTGAAAGGTCTAAGAAAGTCCAAGCCATGCCTTGGATGGCCAGGATATCTGTTGTAAGCTGCTCTGACAGTGCGGGTCTGGGATGCAAACAGAATATGTGTTTCAACAGTTTCACAAAGTTGTCTTTATCTTTTGGGAGAGGGAGTAATATAAGAGACAGGTTATTGTTTTTGGTTTCTGTATTTGTTAATATGTACTTGTGAGTCTTTTGTGTTTTAAGCATTTTCAGTGGTGGCAGAAATAAAAAAGAATCTTCCCAGTGGGTTTCTATTAATTCATAAGATATCCAAAATTTATCCTGGCAGAGCCCCCATAATATAGCACTCCCTCTGGTCTGCTCCCTCAAATAGTATTCATAGCTGAGTTCACTAAAGAATAACTATTCCAAGTACAAGATGTTTTAGGGGACCACCCTAGTAACTTTATGCCTTGTGAGCCTCTTCTGATGTTTTCTTCTTAATAGCCAACTAGAGGACACAATTAGCAGATAATAAAGGTTTTGCCCCAGATAACATAGTTAAATACAGTAACAACAAAACATATCTTCCATAAGCCTGGGGCATACTCACCCATAAATATATACAACATCAGTGTGTAAATTTTACAAATAGAATGGAACTCAAATAGGGAACCCAAGGCCAAGGCAATCAATACTTCTGGTGCTGCAGATTTCCAGTGTCTTCTCAGGATTTCCTTGAGTTGTTCCTCAAAGAACATAGTATCACTTTTTGGATAAGTTGTTCTTCTGGGCCCCTTAAGCCTTGGGTGATACTTAATAGTTTTGATATTTGCTGTAGTCTCCACTGTTTCTGCCTTAAGGCTCAGTCGAAATCTTGGACTAAAGTACAGGTGTGCAGTTTGGGAAAGAACTGGAATCCATACTGTAGGATTCATAGAAGTTTCAGTTTTGGGGTCTACCATCTCCTAAACAGGATCCTATCTCCAGCTGCCATCTAACTCCTCTTGTTGACTCAGATGGACCCCATACTTCCAGACACTGCTATGTGCTTCTGCTCCAAGATGCTACTGGCAATCACATGGGGTGGGGTGGTGGGGAATCATTTCCTTTGTTGCATTCTCCAAAATATACAAGGGAAAATATAAAGAGTAAAATTTCAAATGTCGAGTCTTTTTTCCGTAACTGGTTCTCTTTTGGACTTGATTCAACTGTTTGCTAGATAGGAGGGTTTGCTCTTCTGCTTTTAATCTCTCAGCCCTTTCCATTTGCCCAAATCAAACAGTAGGCTACATGATCTTGGGCAAATAATTTAATCTTTCTTAGCTTCATTTTTCTCACCTGAAAAATGGGAATAATAATAGCACTTATCTCACAGGGTTGTGAATATCAAATATGATAACTCCTATAAAGTGCTTTGTAAACCTTAAAGGTCTATATAAATGATAGCTCTTATTATTATTACTATTATTATTGTTATGCAGAGAAAAGGGCACCCTTGTCTTTTAAAAACTTTAATCTAGTTTCTTGATCCTTTTGTGTATGAACGGACTATTCAAAGTCTGAAGAGGGCAGGCCACTACAACCAGTCAATGAGACTACCCAGTGTCTGACAAGGCTGTGTTCCTTCAAAACCATCACTTCCTCCTTACATTCTAAAATCTCTTGAAGTAAATGGGGAGCAGAGGGGAAGTCAATTGACCAGGGGTTCCATGGTCAACTCCTTTGCTACATTCATATTTGAAATTTCGTTGCTTAAAATATAATTATATTTACATTTAGCAATTGATTAACGATTAGTATTCAGACACGGGGGCATTTGACCAGAGAATCCCTTTACAGATGGAACTCTGGGGATCCAGGTGTTCAGAAGGTAGGTAGTGGGGGAAGTGGGATGTGAAGATTCAATTCAATAAACATATATTGATTCAATTCAGAAAACATTTATTAAGAGCCTACTATGTGCCAGATACTGTGCTGAGTGCTGAGGATACAAAAGAAGCAAAAGAGTCCTCACCTTCAAGGAGTTTACAGTCTAATGGGGAAGACAACATTCTAACAAATATATGCAAAGCAAACTACATACAGGATAAATACGAAATGATTAAAAGGAGAAAGCACTGGAATAAAGAGGGGTTAAGGAATGCTTCCAGTAGAAGGTGGGATTTTAGTTGGGATTCAAAGGAAGATCTCTCTGAGAGATCAGCAGTCAGAGGAGAGATGGAAAAACATTCCAATTTAAAAGAAGGAAAGCACTGGAATTATGGGGGTTAAGGAAGGCTTCCTGTAGAAGGTGGGGTTTTAGTTGAAACTCAAAAGGAGCCACAGAGGTCAATAGGCGGAGCGGAGGAGGGAGAGCACTGAGTTTGAAGCTCAATCAATCAACGTATATTAAACGCCTAAGCGCCTACTATGTGCCTGGCACGGTGCTAAGCTAAGGATGGAAAAAGGTATGTGGGAATGACTACAGACGAAATTCGTGCTCTGGAAAGCTGTGAGTCATTGCTCAGAGTGGTTGCTGATGGTTTCCCCTGTCCTCTGGGGGCGGAAGGATGAGAACCAGAGCAGTGAGCAGAAGGAGCAGCTACTCTACCCCAAACCACATTCCCTTCCTCCTTCCTCAGTCTCTCTGGCTTAGCCCAGCCCCAAGGTTGTCTTGGCAACCCTGAGGGCGGAGGAGAGCGGCACAGGAGAGCGTCACCTGATCTGGATTTCGGAGAGCTGTCTGCGCAGGCGGAGGGCGGGGCTTGTGTGGGTGACGTCAGTCTCCCGCTGACTGATTGCTCAGTTCCCGGACTTCTCTCTCCCCAGAGGATCGGAAAACCGTTGCTGGGGCGCAGCGGTCGGGGCCCGTTGGAGGAGAGCGCCGGGAAGGCTCGGGTGAGCAGCTGCTTTTGGCGGGGAGGAGTGGCAGGACCCCGTCCCGGGCTCGGTGGGTTTGGGGGAAGGACGGGAACCTGAAGGGCGCAGCCCTTGGAGCTCAGCCGGTGACCCCCGGGGGGTGGGGCGGAGGCGGCGCTGGGGCTTCCTCCCTGGAGGAGCCGCCGACGGCTAGTGGGAATCGGCCCCCGCCCCTCGGAGTGCGCCGCGGGCTCGGGAGGCCCTGGGGGGCTCGGGGTTTGGGGGGGCGCGGATAACCTCAGCCCCCCGCCCCCGGCCCGACGAAGGTCGGGGGAGGAAGGGCGTGGGCTGCGGCCGGACGCTGGGACTGGCCGGGCCGCCCTCCCGGGGCAGGGAGGGGCGCGGACCTCGGGGCGCCTGCCCCCGAACCCCCGTTGCCTGCGGGAGGCTCGACGGGACATTCACAAACAAGGGGAAGACACCCCAAAGGAAAACGCTTGCGAGTTGCCGCGGCTTGGTTGCGCCCCTCCTGCTGTTGGGGCGTCGCGGGGTCGGAATTATTTGGGCGGCTCGAGTCTGGTGGGGGGGCTTATTTGTTTAGTGGGCGCAGCTTTGGCTCCCAAGCCTTCCTCGGGGCGTGGAGATTACACAAGCATTCCCTCGCTGCGAAAACCTTTATTTCTGGAGAAGGTGGATCCAATGGAAAACACTGTTGGGTGTGGGTGCAAAAAGCGAAGAAAGAGCCTTGGGAGATCTGGTGATCCAGAGCTTGAGTCTCAGTCCCTTTCTAATAAAAGGGGAAAGTGACCACAGTTTACTTACATAGGTAAGAATTGTTGTTTACACTGTTTAGTCGATAGTACAATGCCTAGCCCGTAGTAGGCACTTAATAAAGGTTTATGGAATTGATAACATGAACTTTTCATTTAAACTTGAATGACATAGTTTTGACAGGAATTTCCAAGGTTATGTCAAAAGTCTGTGTTTCCGGAGCATATTTTGTGCCAAATTTTAATATGTATTATAAATTTCTGCTGCTAGCCTCTACTTGAGGGAAAACAATACTAGTGACTTAAAGGGAAAAAAATTTAGATGGTTAACCTCACCCATGATGGTTATTAGCACAGTTTCTGGTCCATAGCAGACACTTGATACAATGTTTTTTGATTTAACTTGACTTTTCATAAGTTGCAGTTTTACCTCAAAGTGTATCTTGTAAAGATTGTGTAGTATCTCTCTGTGAGCCCTACTTATTGATTTTAGGATTTCCTAAAAACATGCACACTATGTGCAGAAGATGTAAAGATCTTAGTTTTGACTAGTCATTTCATTTTTTTCTCATCCTAGCTTGGGAACATAAATGTACAAATGTAAAAATTGTAGCTTCATAGTTTATTGGTTATCATCAGTGAACTCTTATACAGCTTGGTAGTTCCACAAGACATTTGAGCTGAATATTACAAAGTAAGCAATATAAAAAAACTAATTAAGCTTTTCAAAAAGTTTATTCAGTAACCATAAAATTGTAACCTAAACTAAACTAAAGGTTGGCAAAGTTAATTTCTGGTCTTTTTTTTTTTAAGATATTATTAAGAAGGATAGGATACCATACTTATTATCAAAATGGCAAGACACTGTAGTGTGGACACTATAACTATAAGAAAGTCATTTAACTTCTCTGGGCCTCAGTTTCCTTGTCTGTAAACATAATAGCTGCCATTTCTCTTGTGCTCTAAAGTTTGCAACACTCTTTACATTCTCATTTGGGACTTACAACAATCCTTTGAGGTAGATTCAGGTATGGCCATGTTACAGATGAGCAAACTGAGGCTCACTAAGATTTTAGTGTTTTGTCCATCTTAAATGTTAACATTTATCTATGTAAGAAAACCATGAATATCAGTTGTGTGCTAGGTTGAAACAAAAGAAATACTAAAAGGGAATATTAATTGAGACATGAAGGTATGAAGTTACTTCTTGGAACAAGGGTCTGAAATGAATAGGATCAGAGATCTTGAGCTTAAACTTTAGAGGTCATCCTGGTACAATCCCTTCATTTTACAGATGAGGCAGATACAGAGAGGTTAAGTCTCTTGACTTACCCAAGATCACTAGTGAGCTAGAAGGGAATACAGTTGAGGAAATGCAGGCCCCCAAGAGATGAAGTGATTTGCCCTAATCACACAGCTAATAAGTGCTGGAGGCAGGATTTGAACCTAGGTCTTCCTAACAGTGTTTACTATACCATGTTGTCTTTCCACAGTCTAGTTCAGACACATGGAACAAGGAACTTGTTGGTTTTAAGAAAAATATCCTTTGTGGAACATTAATTCAGTTATGTATGTATGCATATGATAGTTTTCTATTGCCCTTCAGGCAGTCTTTATTTTTTCAGAGTAATAGACAAATGAATAGGAAATTGTTTTTTGAGTACAGTAGGAGAACTCTTGGCTTGGTCAGAAGACAGGTCTCCAGATACTTCTGACACTTAGTACCCTGTGTGACTGGGGGCAAGCCAATTAACCTGCCTGTGCTTTTCTTCCCCTTGTTTGTAAAAGGAAGGGATTGAACTAGATGGTTTCTGAGGTTATTTCCAGCAATATGATCCTATTTTAGTCACTTGTTCCAAGAAGGAAGGTCATTTTTTCCTCCCATCCTTCACCTTAGTATCTTCCTTTAGTGTGTCTTTTGTTCCAAGTTCAGGCAAAGCTCTCATAATGATGTTTTTATTATGTGAACATATGGTAACATTTAAGATTTGTTGGATATTCCTGGAAATATTTTTTTCTGATGGTCACCTTTAGTCAAATGGATCATTTGCTAGTTGTTAGATGTAAACCAATTTAATTCTAGGTAAGTAGAGAGAGAAGATCCCAAGAAAGGAGTGTGTTTCTCTTCTATGCTTGGCACTTTTGGAAAGGTAAAATCTGGTTTAAATGAATGTCAGAGGAATCAAAACCTAGAACATAAATATTAAGAATAGCAGTGGGTTAGGTAAATGCTAAAGGGAAGACATGTTACCAAAGGGAAACTATCTGAGGAAAGTCTCTAGGATCGGTAGGGAGGTTCATTTAATTACTTTTAAAATGTTTTGAATTTTTTAATTGATTCTTTTTGCCCATTTTACCACAACTGCTTCCCATGAATTCCTCCATATGTTCCCCACCTGATCATAACAAAGAAACATTCAAGTAAAACAAATCAATACGGTGCCTATGTAACAGTACTCACTCTACTACTTCTTCACTAGGATGAGAGTATGCTTCATCATCAGTTTTTCCGAATAAGATTGGACATTGGTTTTCATCTAATTTCAACATTTACTCAGTGCCTGTTAGATGAAAGACACTCTCAGGTGATAGTAATATAGAAATAAACATGAGAAAGGTCCTTCATAATAGAATTACTAGGTAGGGAAGAGAAATGTGCACAAAAAATGTACAAGGGAGAATATTCAAAGGACAGGTTCAGGCAAAGTGCAATGAAAATTTTAGGTAAGTAGGGAGAATGGGGGATGGGCACCAGAGAAATCTTAATGGAGAAAACATCACCAAATTGGACTTAGAAGGAAAGGGAAGAACTTTAATAGACAAATGAAGGGGAGAGTTCATTCAAGACACAAAGAGTTATCGTGATCAAATACTAATACAGATAGAGGACGTAGTGTTGTACTATTTGCTGAACCCCACAGAATAAGAACAGACTGAGATTTGAAGTAAGCTGGAAAGGCAGGTTGGAATAAGAATCTGGAGGGCTTTGAATGCCAAAATCAATAGTTTATACTTTGTATGGTCAATAGGGAGCCATTGAGTAGTTTTTAGCAAAGGAGTCATGTGATCAGAGATGTGTTTACTTTGATCAGAGAAGATTACTTTGGCCATGTTGTGAAGGAAGAAATGGAGAGAAGCTAGAATGGAGGCAGGAAGAGTAGTTGAATACGCTTTTACAATAGTATAGGCCTAAACTAGTGTGATTGTGGTGACACTGGAAAGAAGAGGGCCCATGTGAGATATTGTATAGGTAAATATGTAAGTAATGTAGGAAAGTGGAATTACACTGAAAGCAGAAGGGAAAGATAAAGGAACTCATCTGGAAACAAATAACAGAAAGGGGAAAATAAAGACCCAGGGCTTGTTTCCCAGCTTTGATTCTGCAGATGTAACCTTCCTAGCATCTTGGAACAGTGACTGGAAACTCAAAATAAAGCTGGGGAAGTGCCCTCTTAGCATAGTACAGGAAAGAAGTTTGAGCCAGAAATTTTCTTGTCATACTTGTATATTGTAATTTTTATTTGTATTATGATTGTTTGGGCTTCCTGCTTTACCCTTAAGGGCAGATTCAATTCAGTACAATTCAATAAACGTTTTTTAAGTGCCTACTCTGTGCCAAGGGCATGTGGGGTGTTCAGGGAAAACTAACACCTCTCTTGTGAGGGCTTGCTGAGCCCTTTTCAGGGCTGCTCATCCACCTTTGGTGTTCCCCTTTACCCAGCTCTCACCTGTGACTCCAAGAAGCTGTAGAGTGTGAGCATTGGCTACACCCTAGTAAAGGGGTCTCAGTAGACAGGCTAAACCAGGTTGAGAGTAACTTTCAGGCCTTAGTGAGTTATGGAAGAAACTACCCCAAGCAGTTGAAGACTTCCCCTATGGAATGGGCAGGTGAGAACAATTTGTTCCAAGGCCGAGAAAGCAGTTGATACAGGTGAAGTGGAGCCTTTAGAGCTTGGTCAGGTACTGAAGACATCAAGGTCATCCACTGCATCCCCATTGCCAGTCATCCTGACTTTTGTCTTGCCACTGGTCTTCAGTGATTGGAAGAGAGAGTGAGCCTAATGAATTTGTAGACCTCTACCTCACTTAAATCCAATTCATGGGCAAGTCCAGACATCACTCCAGGGTACCATTGGTCCTCTTCGAAGCATGAACAACAACAGTCTCAAAAACTATGTGCCAGTGCTAAGCCCTGGGGATACAAAAAAGAAAAAGTCCCTGCCCTCAAGGAATTTACAGTCTTGCAGTCTTAATGGGGGAAAGACTGTA